AGTCCTGGGAGTGTGGCTGTAAATAGCAAACGTGGGGAATGTGCAGGGGGGTGGGAGCAGCGTTGAGCACAGCAGTGCATTCAAACAGACAAAATTAACTCCTGGTCTTTATTTCCCAGCTCAGATGGAAATGCAGGAAAGAAGATGAGACGGGAGGGGGATACTCCAAAGATGTGCTGCTGCAGATCCTGCAAAAGGTCCCGTCTCACACTCACTTTCCTACTGCAGGGTCTTCCCCTGCTCTCTGGTATAAGGATAATGAATTCTGGGAAGCTGCATATCATAAAATCATGGAACAATGAAATGGTTTGGATTGGAAGGGACCTTAAAGCCCATCTAGTCCCACCTCCCTTCCACTAGCCCAGGTTGCTCCAAGCCCTGTCCAACCTGGCCTTGGACACTCCAGGGATGGGGCAGCCACAGCTTCTCTGGGCAACCTGTGCCAGGGCCTCCCCACCCTCACAGGGAAGGATTTTTTCCCAGTCTAACCCTATTCCCTGTCAGTGTGAAGCCATTCCCCCACGTCCTGTCACTTCAGTCCCTTGTGAGATATAAACTGGGGTGGCTGATTTTTGTCTCTGTTCAGCTTTCTCGTGCAATTTTCAGAAATCATCAGCACGTTCATGCAATCATTAGGTTGGAAAAGACCTCCAAGATCATCAACTCCAGCCAAGTTTGATCCGTGAGCTGGGAGCTGTTTTCCAGCTAACACCTCTGCCCTGCTGTGGGAAGTGCAGAGACAGGAGCAGACAAGCCTTTGATCTGATTAGTCCCAGCGTGGCAGCTTTGTTTTCCCTCCCTGCAAGTGCCTCCCGTAGCTCTGGCTCTGAGCTGAGCATCCCTCTTGCACTGGGGCCTGCTGGAAGCCAAGTGTGTTGCTCTGTGCCTCTCTAGGATTGTTTCCTGGAGGGACAGAAATTATGGCAGGTTGGGGTTGGTTGGAAGCATCGTGTGGGACAGAAATGGTGACAGCTCAACCTCATGCCTGTGAAAACACATGTTTTCTCTTTGTGTTCGTTTAATAAATGAACTCCACGTCTCTCCTGGGTCTGTAATTAACTTTTTTTTTTCCTTCTTTCTTTTTTACCAGTATGGAGATGTGCTCAATTTGGTGATCTCCAGCAGGAAGACTGGGAGTGCAGTGGTGGAATTTGCTACGGTGAAGGCGGCGGTGAGTGTGCAGAGCCCCAGCTGGGTGTGGTGGGGGGGATGTCACAGGAGGGGACAGGTCACAGGGTGACAGCCCAGGGGCTGCCTGGTCATTAAGGCAGTGGAGAAGGCTAATGAGAGTCTGAAGGCACAGAGGGATGAAGGGAGTGGCAGAGCTGGAGGCACAGACCCGGAGCAGACCAGGCACATAAACAGGTTGTGCGTGGAACAGGCTGAGGGAAGAGACAGTGCCTGAAAAATCAGGCACCGAGCATTTAATCAGCTCCCACTGAAGGTGAATTACCTTGGAGTTGGGCTTTTGTGTTGTAGGGGAGATACCAGGCAATTGCAGTGAAAAACAAATCAAAGTGTCCCAGCTCACTGTGAGTTTTAATAATTCACGTGGCTGTGGGAACAGAAATCATCAGTTACCCTTAATTTTAGTAGTTCCATCAACTTACTCTGTGCAGGAGCCTCTGTTCCTTGTCACCTGTTCTTTCACTCACATCCAAAAGATCAAAAGGAAAACCAGCCCAGAACTGTGTGTGACCTGTTCATCTGAAGATCTGGCAGGGGTATGTTCTGTCTGTGCTCAATGCAGATAAGGACCATAAAAGTGCCTTAAAGATGAGCTGATTGCAGCAGATCTTAACAAATGCAATCACAGAACGGTTTAGGCCAGAAGGGGCCTTAAAGGCCCTTAAAGTTCCACCCCCTGCCATGGGCAGGGACACCTGCCACTAGCCCAGGCTGCTCAGAGGTCCATCCAGCCTGGCCTTGGGCACTTCCAGGGATGGATCCTCCTTGTTTGTGCCCCACTTGGCCTTGGGGCTGGTCTGAGATGGGAAAGTGATCCTTAGGGACCTGTGAGGGAGCGGGGCCTGGAATTCAGGTGGTGATGGAAGAATATTTTCCTTGCCAGGAGATGGCTGTGAAGAATGAAGTTGGCCTGATAAACAACCCTCTGAAGATCTCCTGGCTGGAGGGGCAGCCCCGGAGCCACCCCAGCACTGTCCTCTCTGACAGCACCAGCCAGCCCAGGACCTCACAGGTAAGGAGACATGGGCTGTGGTATTTAAATTCGTTGCTGTAGCAACCTAAATTTCGGTGTGCTTTGTACTTATGGGCAAATACGAGCTGCAAAGAAACACTTGATGCCAGGCCTGGCTTTCCCATCAGCTTTTCTGTGCTGGACCAGTGGCTTTTTTAAAGAGAACTGGAGCTGTTTGGATGACTGGATCTTCACACACTCACTGTCTTCCAAGTGAAGAACAAGGATGTTCCTTGCTCAACCCAAAGCCTCCAATGCCATTCTGCTGGGATTTGTTTAATAGGTGTTGACTGTGGGAATTCTCTGGCTGAGAGCTGCTGAAATGAAGGTTTTTTTAGGCAATCTTGGTTACTCACTGCGTTCACAGAAGGAAATTTCAGTGGTGGAAGGAAACCTCTAATTTTAGGGTCTGCAGGAGGGAGGAGAAAGCAATATCAAGCTAAATACCCTTCTAGAGACCTCATTGTCTGGGTTTGGTCCTCCACACCAGTGTGGTTACTCCGAGTGCAAGCTGCATGTCTTCTGGCTTACTTAGCCAGTTCCTTGGCTGGGAAGGTGGGAAGGGACCTGGTTCAAACTTCACGTGACACTTACCCTCCTCTCCTCCTTCCCTGTGGTATAAAGATCCAGAAATCTCATTGCTGAGAGGGCTCCTGCCTTGTACCCTTAAGCTGTGTGTCTCCATCAGCCTTTTGTGTGTTCACTCCCTAAATATTTTAAACCTGTGAGATTGTTCAGTACATTCACTCTTGACTTTTTTTGCCAGTACTTTGTTTATACATCAGAATGCCTGGTTGTTGTTCTATCCATGTAGAATCTGGGAGAGTCCTGCAGCCACGGGAGATTCAGAGAGGGGACCAGAGTGGTAGAAAGGAAATTGGGGCAAAAAAAGGATTCCAAACCACTTTATTTGAGAATTTCTCATTAGGAGAGAGTGAGAACTGGCTCATTTGTACCAAAGGGTGTTGCTGTTGCAGTTGGAGCTTGGTGGTGGATTCCAGCCTGTGTGGGTTCAGGTCCCTGAGTTTATCCTGGCCTGTTTCCATGCCCAGAGCTTGTTATTTTGGAAGTGTGGTGTCTGCCTGTGGTGAAGGATTACTGTGGCTGGGGCAGCAGGGAGAGCAGGAAAGCAGCAGGAGGGGTTCATGGTGACCCACCTCTGCCCAGCACAGCCTCCTCAATCCCATCCTGGTTCTCAGGATGGGGAGGAGTCGCTGCCAAGGCCTTCCCAGGAATTGCACTGCTGATGCTTGGCTGTCCTTTCTGCTGCTTTTTTTTTCTGTAAGCAACTGGAATTTCTGGGATTATGTTGCAGCCTTGCATCTCTAAGCTGCTCTGCTTCCCACTTTTCCTAGCGCCTGCTCCAGACCCTCTCAAAATCCTGCTCCTGCTGCATCCACCAGGATGTTTCCACAGGATGATTAGTGTGCTAATAGCTCCTCTTGGCTGTTTTGCTTGCAGCTAATTTAAGTTTGCCCTCTCCAGCTCTAGGCTGTGCAGGATGAGCTTCCAGATCCCTGTTGCTCCTGCCTCTTCCTTTCACACCCAGCCCGGCTTCCCAGCCATCAGACTCCACATCCCTGCTTCCCAGCTGCACAAATCTCATTCCGATTCAAGCTGCCCTCGCTTCCTATTTGCTTCCCCCCTGTTTTTGTCTGAATCCACCCCCATTTTGTTCCCACCCCGTGCAAAGGCAGCTCCTTCCCTGCTCTGCTTCAGCAAACAGCCCAAGGCCCGCAGCGTTCTCATGGCAACGCGCTCGCCACTCATCCTCTGGGACAGTCATCCCGGTGCTCCCTGCCTGGGACAGGCACCTGGGAGCTGAGTGCCAAAAGCTGCAGGTGAAGGACGGTCAGACCCTAAGCAGGGGGTTTGGAAGTGCTTCCCGTGTGGAAGCAAGGCTGGCTGTTGTGCTGGGAGGAGGCAGTAAGTCGCAGGCTGCTCGTTCTCCTGCGGCCACGGGTGCACGTTGTCCGGCAGCTCCTGGAGAGCTGCTGGAGCCAAGCAGGCGACTTCCCCTTGGATTACAAAAGCTGTGGCTTGGCCAGTGTTACTCCAGGCCATTGAGAGCAATGCCTGTGTGATGGTTCAGAGCACACAGTGGCTGTGCAGTGCAGTGAGGAGCTTGTTTGGCCACTACAACGGCGTGGAGCACTCAGGTTTGGGAAGGTTTTCCCTGCTCCTTCAGCAGGATCTCCCTGCCAGTGCTCCTCAACCCTGAGAAAAGCCTCCTGCCTGGCATCCCTGCACCTTTTCTAAGCTCCTTGGAGGTTTCAGAGAGTTTGTTTCGTATTACCAGGCTCTGAGAGGTGAATCTGACAGGGTAAGAGCCGGCTGTGCCGGCTTTGGAACGTCCCTGCACTTTGCTGTAGCCACTTCCAAAGCTCCTGGTTATCTGGGGGCATGGAAGTTTTATTATTGTTGTTTTTTAAAAGAGCCCTTATATCTAGCCTATCAGAAAGGTAAGAATTGGTGACTACTGCAGTAGTTTCTGCAGTGTCCTTTTAGCAGTTTGCCCTGATGCTGCCCCAAAATGTTCTCAGCCTGGCAGAGCCCTTCCCGCTCTCCAGCTCAGGGGTGGAGAACCAGGTCTTGCCCTGAGCTGTGTGAGCTCTCCTTTGGGGAAAATCAAGTCCCAGCAGCTCTCTCCTTCCCCCAGCCCAGAAAAACAGAGCCACGCTGCTTCCCCTCCCTCAGGAAAACCTGCAGGAGGATGGATCTGGGCCACTCCAGATACCCTGTGCTCCTGGTGCCTTGGCTTTTTGTGGCTTCTTACCAACTAAATGAGGCAACCAGACACTTCCAGTCACAAATACATTTATTCTTCCATGTCTGTACAGCTGGGAGCTCAGTGCATGCGTGAGGCAGCAGTGTGTGGAGACATCTCCTCTCCCCTGCCAGGAGGATAAACCCACTGCTGGTGCTCTATCACGAGCACGAGTGGATGCTTACCTGTTTCCAGGCTGGGAGTGCCAGCTGCACTGGAGCTGGGGAAAAAGAAACCCACAAGGAGGAAGAAGAAAAAAAAAAAAAAAGAGGAACAGCTTTGATTTTTCACATCCAGACACGGTGGGAGAAGAACCCCCAGTTCCCGTCTCTCGGCCCTTGCCACACCTGTGGCTTTGAGGTGCAGTGCTGCTGTCTCCTTGCAGGCTGCCTGCTGTCCCACAAGGGATCCATGCCAAGTCCCTGGGTGTCCCTGCCCCGCAGTGTCACAGCCACATCCCCAAAATAACAAGTCTTTCCCAAACGATGCCGTTCTTCCCTGAGGAGGAGACGCACAGTCCGGAGTGGGAGATTCCCAGGGTGAAGAGTGGAAACAGTGCTCTCACCTGAGCTCTGCTCCAGAGGATTCCTTGGCAAGGACAGGGATGGTCTGTGGTGGGTGAGGCAAGGACAACAAAACAGGCCACACACGACAGGCATGCTCCAGCATCCTTCCTCCCGCTGGGATCAGAGGAACTGGCAGCAGCATCGGGTAAATGGGATGTGGTGAATGATAAATACCTTCAGATGGCATAATCTCTCGGGTTCTGTTTCCTGAGGGTCTGCAGGACGTCCTCGAGGAGCGATAGCCCCAAATCCACTTTGAAGGACAGGAAGGGGTCAGCCAGGTCGGGAAGAGTGGTGCCGTTCTGGGAACCTGCCTCTGAGGTCCCGTGGTCTGTAGCCTGGTCCTTGTGTGTCTGAGTGCCTTTGTGGTACTGAGCGGCGTCGGAAAAGGAGATGTCGGAGTGGGAGTCGGTGTGGTCGATGATGTTGGGGCAGCTGGAACTGTCCAGGTACAGCCGGGGAGGCTTGGGAGGGGCTTGTGCCTTGGCCAGGTTCTGCTCGCTCTGGCACGACAGGTAATCAGACTTGTCCTTCAGATCCCTCAAGCCTTCCCTCTTCTGGCCGTCAGTGTCCAGAGTGTGGCTGTTCTGGTTCAGGATGATGACTTGGTTGCCCAGCTTTTTGTGCCTCCTGAGGGAGAAACGTCTGAAGAACGTGGTGGACTTGATGGACCCTCTGCGCCAGGTATCCATGCTGAGGGGAGGCAGTGAGGAGAAGGGACCTGCTGACTCCTCACAGGCAGGTGCTGGACTTAAGCCACGGGATCAGCAGCGAGCCACGCAGCAGGAACAGCCTCTTCCTGCCCCGTTCCCGTAGCTGGAAGGAAAACAGAGAGGCTGGTAGTGCAGGAAATGCAGACTCCACGCTGTGGTAAGGAGCAGTTGGCTCGTCTTGGATCTTAAGGAGTCTCCTCCTTGAGTGGAGAAGGAACACGGTGTCTGAGCTCGTTAAACGTGTGCTGGTGAGGAACAGCAAGGCACAGTCACCATGAGAACAGATCTAATCTGGCATCTAGAACAGAAGGGCACCCGGGTGCCATGGTAACCAGCCACCTTCTGCGGAGGGGCACCGCCGGAAAATCCAGTGGGTGGTTGGGAAGGAGACGGTGACTCAGTCCCACTGGAGGAGCCAAGGAAGTAGAGGCGAAGGGGGATGTAAAAGGCGACGCCGTGAAAGGCAAATGTCGGGAGAGCGGAATGCAAAGGAGACTTACGGCGTGTCGGAGCAGCCCCGAGTCCGAGGGCGCAGAGGAGAAGCTGCTGGAGCACTCGGAGAACTGTGCCTGCCACGCTCACCAGGATGAAGGAGCCAGTCTGGGGACAGCTGAGCCGGGAGTTCGGGAATTCAGCCAGGTTGGACCCAGAGTGCTAAAAATCCCCGGAGCTGCCGCCGCCGCCGTCTCTTCATGTGCCGCCCGTCGCCTCTTCCCGGGCTGCAGCTCCTGCTCGGATGTGTTTGTTTTGAGCCAAGCCCTTGCTGAGTCAGCCACGTCAGGAACTGGGTTTTACACGATTGGTAATTGCCAGGATTGCAGGAAGTAGGTGTGTGGAGTGGCAAAGCCTCAGCCCACGCTGCCTGAGGAGCAGGAGAGCTCCTCGGAGGCACCCGGACTGCTGGGAGCTGCCAGCTTGGAGCCCACCTGGATCAGGCTCTTCTCCTCCCTCCTGCCGCTCTGAAGGCTCCGTGTGTCAGCAGGGCTCCCAAACCAGGCTGGGAATAATCTCTTGTCTGTTTTAAATTTCAGTCCGTGTGCGAGGTGGAGATTCAGGTTTGTGTGGGTGATTCATCTGCATGAGTCTCACACAGCCTCTTCCATCCAGCCCAGCAAATCCCTGGGGTTGGTGGACAGGACTGGGGAGGATCCTGGTTCTGCTGCTGAGGGCCAATACCCATCAGTGTTTTCTGAGACACTGGTGCTGCCAGCACCCAAAGGTCATTTCACTCATCTGGCTCCTAAGACACCAATTAGACTCCTAATTTCCCACTCGACGTTCCTCATCTGTTGTGGGGCTTCTATTTTGTCCTCGCAGCCGGAGGAACCACTTTGCTGGCACTTGATAACAAATTGCACTTGCCCCATTTTCATGCAGAGTCTTATTTAGCCATTCTATTGCCTTTGTATCCCAGCTGCTTCCTAAGATGTCCTTAAGTACCCAGAGAAGCTGTGGCTGCCCCATCCCTGGAAGTGTCCAAGGACGGGTTGGACGGAGCTTGGAGCAACCTGGGCTAGTGGGAGGTGTCCCTGCCCATGGCAGGGGGTTGAATCCGGATGATCTTTGAGGTCCCTTCCAAGCCAAACCATTCTGTGATTCCATGACTCTCTGAAATCACCACTAAACCCAGTTCCTAGAAGAATGAACGTGAGTGATTTTTTTTTCCATTTACCTTCTGTCAAGACACTTATTTCTGTTTGAACTGTCAAGGAATGAGATGGATGTTTCCAAGCCTTGCGGTGCTTTCATACATCCAAAATAGCACGGCCACCTACTAGTGTGGAATGGCTTTGGAAGCAGAGTTCCAAAGCACTGGAGCAGCTGTCATCTGCTGCCCACGTTCATTAGGCAGAGTCTGCAATCAGCTGGGTTCACGTGACAGTTGCTGCCACACGCAGCAGGAAGGCTCCGGGAGCTTTGGAAAACTATTCCATTCCTGCGTCAGGTTTGGGGAACATACCTGGTGGTTTTCTTCCTGCAGCCACTTAGAATCGTTCAGGTTGGAAAAGACCTATAATATCATCAATTCCAACCGTTACAAGCATAGAATCAGGAATGGTTTGGGTCGGAAGGGACCTTATGGATCATCCAGTTCCGCTCCCCTGCCATTGTCAGGGACACCTTCCACTGGCCCAGGTTGCTTCAAGCCCTGGCCTTGGACACTTCCAGGGATCCACAGCTTTTCTGGGCAACCTGTGAGGTGCCCTCACCACCCTCAGTCGGTTGGGAGTTATCAGTTCCGTGACTGATCCACAGAGGTTGGGTGTTTTTATGGCATCAGCCTTTGTAACGGGTGAAGTGTACGCTGGACTTTGGGCCGCAGCGTTGCAGGTGCAGGGTGAGCTCATCATCCAAAATAATGCCTCATCCAGCCTCGTGGGGAGCAGGGAGCAGCTCTGGCAGCAAGAGGGGAATTCAGGAATGCAGGCTCTCTGTGTCTCCTGCTTTCCCCATCAGCCACGCTTAGGAAGCAGCTTGTTTTTCTGTAGCCAGGCAGCTTTCACACCTCACCCGATCTCTGTGGGATCCAACTGCTTCCTGCCCAGAACTCCCGTGTTGAGAGGGGGGTCTGGGGAGAGGGGAGCTGGGTCTGCACTGTCCCTGATGGGTTGTGTGTGTTTCCTGCTCCCTGCCAGGCATCCGTGGTGTCGGAGCGGGACTACGAGAGCCTGGTGATGATGAGGATGCGCCAGGCAGCAGAGAGGCAGCAGCTCATCGAGCAGCTCCGGCGGGAAGACGAGGAAGAGTCTCACACTTAGCGTGACAGTACGGATTCTCCCCACCCCTGCACCCCCCCGCCCTGAGCTCTTTCTTAATTTAAGTCAATAAACCTCCTTTTTTTAAAGCTGGTGTGGGAATACAAACTCCCAGGGACTGCGGCCTTTATCCCTTTCCAGGTTTGGGGAAGGAAATGGCTTCAGTGTGCAGGTATTACCCTGTCAGTGTGTGTCCAGAGCAGCTGCCCCATCCCATGGGACAGGGTGTGAGGGGTGCCATCAGAACACCAAACCTTGGAGCTTTTAATCCCTGGAAGCCATGCATCCAGAATGATTTGGCTGCAGCTTCAAACAACCCACAGAAGGACATTGGTGTCTTTAGAGCAAAGCTTTATTGGTGTTACCCCTACAGCAGGATCCGTACATAGCTCTAAACATTCCAGCAGTGCAACTGCTGCTGTTGGGATTAGGGCTCACAACACCTTTCTGTGCTATTTTGGGAACCCTGTGTTATGCTTGGATGGCACTCTGGTATCTGGAAGTCTGAGGATGCTGCTGACCACGATCCTGTGTGGGATGGAAATGGGCCTTGCTGCCAAGGGAAGGGGATTCTCGGACCACTGGGTAGGTATAGTGGTTCCCTCTCAGATTTCAGGGATGAGATGGGGTGCTCTCCATGCCTGGTGTCCCCCTGTAACCTCCCTGGCCCGGGAGAAGGCACGGACCTCTCCAGGCAGCCTGAGAGAAGGCAGACAGGTCTGTTACTGAGCTTCCTCCAAGGCATGCTAAATAGATAATTAAAATGTAAAAAGCTGGAATTTGCCAGACTGCCATCCTGCTGAAGGCAGAGCTGGAGCCATCTGTTCCCTCTGCCTGATTTTTGGGCATCCTTTCCTCCCCGTGCTCTTGGGAAACAACAAGGATGGCAAAATCCCGCTGGGTCCAGCTCTGCCTCTGCACCGCTCCTCTCCCCGCCCGAGCGCCGGGAGTCTGGGACAGGAAGGAATGAAGGGGGAAAAATTCGCTGTCAGTCCTGTAGAGATGATGTCCAGCAGGATCTGGGCTGGGTGGAAGGCAGGATTCTTCCTGGCTATTCCCTGTGGAGGCACCAGACCAGGGTCTGGCCCACGCCGGTCATGCTGACCACGCGATAGCCGAGCTTCTCCAGCTTGTCCAGGACCACGCGCGGCGCGTCGTTCACGTAGTACTCACAGCTGCTCCCGGGAAAGAGGAGGAATAAAGTGAGCTGGGGGGAGGAAGAGACGGGAATTTCCTTGTGGAAGTGACTCTGCCTCGCTCCTAACCCAGGTAAGCCCGGTGACTGCACCTGGCACAGGTGAGTGCGACGCAGTGCCTTGGTTAACCCGAGGGGAAGGACACAGCCCACGGTGCCAAACCAAGGGGAATCCTGTCCAGCAGGGAAGGATCAGGTTAAATGGGAATGTGGCTCAGGGATTGGGTGTCCAGAGCCACGTGCTGCTCGGAAACTGGGCTGAAACTGCAGCAGAGGGTTCATAGGTAAACACAGGGGAACACAGTTCTGGGAATTCATGGAGAAGGCAGAGAATCTGGGCCAAGCAGGGAGGAATGATTCAGGTGTTTCTAAGGAATGAAATCCCAGTGTTCTGCCCATGTTGGAGCATGTCTGTAAGCTGGGTGGGTTTGAGAGCCCGTGCTGATATTTGGGGATTGGAACAAGGTGCTGCTTTCAGTCAGGTGGGAAAGCTTTGGAAAGCCAGGAGTTGTCTGTCCTGCACAGAGGTGCCAGGTGAAGTGGAGCACAGGCTGCTCTGCCCCAGCAGTACCTGGGAGTCTGGGAACTGACACCGGGATCCTTGTCTGGCCCTAATTCCTCATTGGTTTTGTGCTGGCTCTGTGGAGCAGAAGCTGCTTGTTCCTTCCCCTAGATCCCAGAGCCTGCTCCTCTGTGGAATCTTGAGGGCTGTGACACTGCTCCCCAGTAAAGGACCAGACACAAACTGGGCTGAATTGGGTGGGGACAGCAGAGCTGAGCTGGCCTGTAGAACCTTTGGCACTGGATCTGCCAGCCTTTCCTTTGACACAGCTTCTGGGATGCAGCATTTATTGGAGCAGCTGGGATAAGTTCCAGGGCAGCTCAGCCCTTAGGTGACTCGTGGTGCCTGATAATGACGGGTTGCAGGATCACTGGGGATCCAGTTTGGCCACCTTAACAAAGACTCTCCTGATTTTCATACTAATAACGATAAAAAAAGGTCCAAAAGCCTTTCCAAAGCTGCTCCTGCTCGGGTTGCAGAGCCGTGCTGGAGCAGGGAGTGCTTTAAAGCACAAAATAACCCCAAGATGTGAGAGATTTTCCAGTTTCTCAAGATAGACTGTACTTGGCTGTAATTATAGATGTGGTGTAAAGATAATGTGTGTTATTATAAGTGTCTTTGAAGTCCATGCTTTCTCCAGGAGGGTTGCCACATAATCCTTCAGATTCCCAGTGGGAGGTGGTAAATATTATTCCCATTATTCAGAGGAAGGAGCAGAGGCAGGGATTTGTAGGAACCTAAAAAACGGAGTGGCTGAGCTAAAATCAGGAGGAAAGAGTTCCCGGGGCTTTATCACAGCTCTGTGTTGAGGGAGGCAAAGACTGCACAGTGTGGGCATCGGACACGCTGCCGTCTCCATGTGCATCCAGCCGGGATGGAGGGGCTGGGACACCTGCAAAGCCTTTTCTTCCAGATAAAACGCCATCAGGGAAGAGAGAAGTCATCCCTGATCGGCACTGGTTTGGTGTGTGATTCCACCTGCTCTGCCTCCGGGTGTGCCAAACCAGGAGAGCCCACGCAGGGGTGGGGCAGGAGCGTCCTCCGCACGCGGCGATTTGCGGGGATGGAGCAGCCAAGCTCCTGGGATCTCTGCCCAGCTCTCCTCCAGCTCCCTGAGGACGGGGTTTGGCTGTGCCCGGAGGAACAGGTACGCTGAATGTCAGCAGGTGCCTCAGCCCTCAGCTCCCAAATCCAACAGGGATCGCAGTGAAGACCAAAGGGCGCTGAGAGCGTGTAATGACCGGAGAGGCCGAGGACCCACATCCGCCCGGGCACACCCAGAGTCCCCTTGTCCACAGCACCTGAGGGTCAGGGATTTGCCCCTCGCCGTGGCTGCCCCTGTGCTACACCTGGGCTCTTCCCTGTGCCCATCCCAGCTGTCCCTGTGCCACCCCTGGCTGCCCCCAGGGCTCTGCCACAGGCCCAGAGCGCGGGGACCACGTGCCTGCTCCCCACACCTCGTGGGACTTAATGAGGGGCCTTTTGGCCGCGCAGAGCTGCGGAACAGGATCCGTGCACCCCCTGATTACAGGGAGGTAAGTGCTTCACCTGTCCATCCCGGTTTCCCAGCAGGTTCGTGCTGCTCAGGCCTTTCCTCCAGGCTCCCTCCAAGGTCACGGTTAAGGTTTTGGGGCCCGCGGTGCTGCAGGAAGGGGCAGGTTTGCAGCGTCTGTGTCTGCTCAGGAAGGACTTGGGGAAAATCCCGCTTGGCCGTGGTGCAGATCCCGGAGCTCTCGGCCCTGGTTGGGACGCTGGTGGAGGTGGCCGGGCTCGCCCCACTGGCACGTGGCCATGCTCTCGGGGTGCCAGCAGCCACGTTCCAGCCAGGGGACTTTCCCAATTCCCTGTTGCTCAAGAGCACGCGGGGACGACGTGCAGTGCCGCGGGGATGTGCCGTGGGGATGTGCCATAGGGATGTGCCGTGGGGATGTGCCATAGGGATCTGCTGAAGGGATGTGCCATAGGGATGTACTGTAGGGATGTGCCGTGGGGATGTGCTGAAGGGATGTGCCACGGGGATGTGCCATAGGGATGTGCCATGGGGATGTGCCACGGGGATGTGCCCCAGGGATGCAGCGGAGTTCCCAACTATGACACCAGGCTGTGCCAAGGAGCAGGTGGGGCAAGAGAAGCTCAAAAGGCTCCAGGCCACAGCGAGGAAAGAAAGGTGGTGTGAATCCACCAGGGAGATCCCGTAGGAAGCCTCAGATCCTTTCCAAACAAGCAGAGCGTGGTGCTCCTGCAGCTCCCCCAGCTGCTGGGGCAGGTGCCACAGAGGCATTTATCTGTCCTTGCCTTCCTTTCCCACCCGAATCCCAGGGATCCTTGCCCAAATCTCTCAGGATCCAGCAGCGCTTCTTCCTTCTTGGAGCCTGTTCTCCTTCTCCCCTGCCATGTCTCCCATCCCGTTGCATAACTCGGGGCTCGGCGGGTGGCAGCACGAAGCCAGTGCTGCTGCCAATCCCTGCCCACCCACCGTCTTGGGAACAGCAGCACAGGGAGGGATCAGCCCGGCAAACCCCCCCCGGAATTCGGTTGGGATGGGGGGGGCCCCAGTGTTTATATTTTATCTCCTTATTCTTTAAAATCTCCCACCCCACTCGGATTTTAAGGCTGCAGCAGCCGAGGATCCAGCCCTCGGTGTTTGCCAGGCTGGTGCTGAGTAGGGGGGCATTTCCCAGCTCCTCAGATGGAAATTTAGGAATATGCTGGGACAAGAGACCCCTTCTGTTAAATACCTGGTCCTTCTCCTCTGTGCTGTGGGACGTGAACAGGAATTGAGCTGCTCCTCTCTGTCAAGTTCATTTGCATTTAGGGTTTTGTTTTGCTTTGTGGTTGTTTGGGGTTTTTTTCCCAGGTAAAACTAAGGAGTGGAATATCAAGTGGGCAAAAAAAAAGGAAACAAAGCGGGCCAAGCCATGAGGAAGATGCTGGTCACGCCTCCACATGGTACTTTCCTGAAGGCTGAGGTCAAACTCGGCCTGGGCAGAGATGGGACGTGGAGAAGTGGCAAATATCCATGGTTTGGGAACATGCAGGTGAAGGGGTGGGAGTCGAGGGGGACACCACGAGAAGCAGCTCTGACCTCAGCACTCAGCAACCCATGGGAAAGCTTTGGGAGCTGTTGAGAGGGGCTGGCTTGGGAGAAACCTCGAGCTGCACTGGAGAACAGGATGGGACAGGACAGATTGTGGCTGAGCTGGACGGGATAGGATGGGATGGGACAGAACAGACAGTCTGTGGATGAGCAGGACAGGATGGACTGTGGATGAGCATTCCAGGTGGCTCAGCACCACAGGCAGGGCAAGGCTGTGACAGCAGCGTTTGCTCCTGAGTGTCTCAGGGCTGGAGGTGATCAGACCAAGGAGGTTTGAGTTCAGGATGAGGGGTGGGATGTTGGCAGATGGAGCCATGCATGTCTTGTTCCAGCTGGGCCATGTGTCAGGTAACAGCCAGGAGCATCCTGGCATGTAAGGGGTGAGGAGAGAGGGAAAGGTGGGTCAGGTGCTAAAAGAGGGCCAGAGCAAGGAAAAACTAAAGAACTAAGTGAAGTATCAGGCAGCATTTCCTCAGGTGAGCGTTGGCAGGCAGGACAAGACACGCCCCAGGATTAACTGTACAGCTGGAAGGTGCTGTAGGAAATGCCAGGAGTGAAAATGCTTCACGTTTTTTCAGGAAAATAAGAAGAGGGGGACTTACAAGTTGTTGCCCAGCATGTTCCTCTTCCTGGCCCCCAGGAAGTCCATCAGGTTGGGATCTGAGTGCTCGTCACCCACCATGGTGGGACCAGCCTCCTGTGGGAGAGGCAGGGGAGTGGTGAGTGACATGTGGGGGTACAGCTCCTGCTCCCGCTCCCAGCACAGCTCCAGTAAGAGCTTTACTGGGAAGGGAATTGCCATGAACCACCTGTCTGGACCAGGAGGGGACCTCAGTGAGCCCTGCCCTGGCCACTGGCAGGAAAACACAGTCATTCCCCCCTGCAAGGCCAGGACGGGCCGTTCCCAGCAAGTTCCAGGCTGGAAATGTTTGCTTTGCCCTGGCAAAGAGCAGAGTTTCCAAAGTCTCCAGAGGGGAGACTGAGCTCCACTGATCCAGGCTGCCAGTCCGACAGGGAGCAGCACATGTGCCCTTTCCTGTACCTCACCCATAATCACTCAATCAGTTTGTCACTGCTGGCAGACGCTTCGGTGCTGCAGCGTCCCCTCACGTCCCCATTCCCAGTCCACTGCTGCTTCCTTTGGGATGTGTAATGGGACATCTCCAGCAGCAGCAGCAGCGTCCATCACCCAACTCCCTCCCTTTGCTCATTTGCTGTTTTCACCGGCCCCCCTTCCTGCCCCAAACCACTCTGGCATATTTGGGTTTTTGGGTGGATGGCTCCCCTTTGGGTTGGGAAAGGGAAACCCCAGATAAGCACAGGGCTGTGGGCTCCCGCAGAATCCTGCAGGATGTGCTGGCTGCCAGGAGCTGGGGAGCAGCTGCCCTGTGGGATGTGTGTGCTGCCAGCACTGGGGAGTTACATTTCCTCTGTGGTTTTATCTGAGACTAACAGGCTGTGCCCAGCCAGGAATCCCTGACAGCGATCCCAACCCCTGCCCGGCTCCTGCCAGACCCTGCTGCCAGCCGTGTCCACTCCTTGGCTGGGTTTTCCACCCTGGAACTGTTCTTTGGGGCCAAGAGGGAAAACGACGGCGAGGACGCGCGGGCAGAGCTGTCCCTTTGGCGTTCCTGGGATCCCGCCACAAGTTTCCCGAGTGAGTCGCTGTTTGGGAGAGGAGAATTTGGGGGGAGCAGAGCTGTGGTGTGGGCACCGGGGGCTCTCCACGCCCCGACCCCCGGGGTTTGGGCACCGGGGGCTCTCGCGGAGTGCGGGGGCGGTTTGTGCCGGACACCCCACACCGGGCACCGTCCCCCAAACCTGCATCACCCCCAACACCCTCCCCAGCAGCAGCGGGGACAGCCCAGCCCGGGACCGCACCCGCGGGCTCGTCCCGCCGCTCGTCCCGGTCGGTCTCTGCCCGCCCCCCGAAATTCCCCAGGCCCGGGGGTCCCGCCGGGACTCACCAGGCGGATTTGGGTGCTGATGAGCAGGTACGGCATCTCCGCTCCGCCGCTCCCGCCGCCGCTCCGGGGCCGCCCCCGGTCCCGCCCCGGCGCCACCGCCCCCGGGCAGCGCGGGGGGAAAAAGGGGCTCCCGGAGGGGTCAGAGGGGTCCCGCCGGGAATGGGGAGCGGGAGACCCCCGGGGGACTCCGACGGATCCCTCGACGAGGGGTGGGCAGGAGGTGGTGGGCAGGAAGGAGATGGAGCAGGAGGAGAGGGACAGGGAGGTGATGGACCGGGAGGTGATCGATAGAGAGACAAAGGACAGGAGATGGTGAGCGGGGAAACGATGGTCCAGGAGACGACAGCCAGGGAGGTGGAGGACAGGGAGATGGGGGACAGGAGAAGATGGGCAGGGAGGCGATGAACGAGGAGATGATGGACAGGGAGATGACGGATAGGGAGAAGAAGAACCAGGAAATTAATAGCAGGGAGATAAGGGACCAGGAAATGACAGCAGGGAGATGATGGAGCAGGAACCAGGCAGGTGGGAAGCCCTGGGCCCTGCAGAGCATCACAACGCCCACCCCACCCTCCGACTGAACACTCCCCTGAAGCAGCGTGTTGCAATATTTTTGGGTAAAACTCCATTTTTCTACCAGCTGTCAAGCTTTTATCAGGGAACAGAGGGGTTTAAATCCCTTCACAATTTGAGGAGAAGCTCATTTCGTGGGACTGGGACAGGCAGAGGCACTTCCTCTGCAGGTGCTGAGTAATTCCCCTCCCTCAACACCCAACCTCTCAACTGGAAAACTGTACATGAACCAAATAATACTTCCGTAAATAGCAAATAATAGTTCCCTGGCCTCCAGACTTGGGGCCCCTCCACGCAGCTCCCCAGATTAACAAGCCACAGTCAATTCCTAATTTTGCTGATAACTCTCACCCCACTGGTTAAACATCAGCTCATTTCGATCATTCCCATCCTCAGGAGGCTCTTCCCCAGGTCCTGGAACAGTGGGAATGTTTGCTCATGGCTCTCCTGCCCCGGCACAAACCCACTGTCCAATGAACCAACAGCACCACCACCCTGGCACCTTTCACGTTGGTTGGATTTGGACAGGATTCCCACAATCCATGTGCCCTTTGGATCTCCACCAGGTGTGTGTGTTCTGTGGTTACCAGCCTGTTTGCTGCAGGGAACAACATGGGTATGAAATCCAGACCCTTCCAGAAACTAAAGGAAACCCAGCCAGTGTTCTGGCAGCCTGCCCAGCTCTTGCTCTGCCTCTTACACGGCTCTTTCTTGGAGGGGGGGAAGAAAAAAAAAAAAGTAAGGAAAAAAGAGGGAAACGAGAGCAGAGCCGCACATGACATTTTAATATTGAATTTCCTGAGGAGATACCGAAATCTGGGAGGCAGCTGGAGCATGATGGATCTCAGTGGTGCCATCCATCATCCAGGAGTAGCTTATCACGCTCCGGCCCTGGCTCCGAGCTGGCTGCTCCCAGCTCTGCCTGGACACGCGGGAGATGAGCCCAGCTCGGAATCACTCCCAGTAATTCAGGTAAAGGGAAGAAAAGGGTTCTTTGGCTCTGCCGTCACCCACGCTCCCAGGAGCAGGGAGAACACGGAAGGCTTGATTTTTCCCATTCCTGACCGGCGCCTTTTCCTAAAGAATCCTTTGGATCTTCCAGAAAAGGGCATTTCTAGCTTTAATGATCCTGGGATAAACAGGTTCTTCTTGGGGGATCCTGCCAGGAATGTAAGTGCCCTCTGCATTCACTGTGTTTCCTGTAGAAGGGAGAAATTCCAACCCTAAAGGCTTGGGATGATTGTTTGGCCATTCCTGCCTCCTTCGCCTAATTCCACCTAAAATCCATTCTCTCATCCCAAGAACTGGTTGCTCTGTGCACAATTCCCTCACTGCAATAACCCTGTCCCACTTGGCTCCATTGGGCATTCCCAATTTCCCACTTTCTGTCCCATTTGTCCCTTACTGCTGGAAGCTGAACACCCAATCCAGTGGGATTTCATTCCACGTACCCCCAGCCTGCAGGTGTTCTCTGAGGGTGTTAAAGGGTCTCTCCGGAAATTATTTCCTTGGAAAAGGACTTGGAACAGGTACAGGAGTATCTGCAGGTACAGGTAGAGGTGTGGTTGGAACTGCAGGTTCAGGTGTAATTTTAGGTTCATGTACAGGTGTAACGAGATACATGTACAGGTGTAAGTATAGGTTCGTGTGCATGTACAGGTGTAATTTTAGGTTCATGTACAGGTGTAATTTTAGGTCCATGTAACAGGTCCAGCTGTAACTGCAGGTCCATGTATTGGTCCACGTACAGGTGTAACTTTAGGTCCATGTACATGTACAGGTGTGACTTTAGGTCCATATACAGGTGTAATTTTAGGTTCATGTACAGGTACAGGTGCAACTGCAGGTCCAGGTCCGGGTGTAACTGTGGGTGCAGGTGCATGTACAGGCACAGAAACAGGTTCAGGTGTAACCACAGGTCCCTGTCCCTATCTCTGTCCGTGTCCAGGTGTACCTGCAGGTCCCTGTTGCTGTCCAGGTCCGTGTCCATGTGTACCCGCAGGTCCCTGTCGCTGTCCAGGTCCCTGTCGGCGTCCAGATGTCCCCGCAGGTCCCTGTCCGTGTCCAGGTGTACCCGCAGGTCCCTGTCCCTATCTCTGTCCGTGTCCAGGTGTACCCGCAGGTCCCTGTCCCTGTCCCTATCCCTGTCCATGTCCAGGTGTACCCGCAGATCCCTGTCGCTGTCCCTGTCCGTGTCCAGGTGTCCCCGCAGGTCCCTGTCCCTATCCCTGTCCCTATCCAGGTGTACCCGCAAGTCCCTGCCCATGTCGAGGTGTACCCGCAGGTCCCTGTCCCTGTTCGTGTCCAGGTGTACCCGCAGATCCCTGTCCCTATCCCTGTCCGTGCCCAGGTGTACCCGCAGGTCCCTGTCCCTGTCTCTATTCCTGTCCGTGTCCAGGTGTACCCGCAGGTCCCTGTCCCTGTCCGTGTCCAGGTGTCCCCGCAGGTCCCTGTCCCTATTCCTGTCCGTGTCCAGGTGTACCCGCAGGTCCCTGTCCAGGTCCGTGTCCAGGTGTACCCGCAGGTCCCTGTCCATGTCCGTGTCCAGGTGTTCCCGCAGGTCCCTGTCCCTATCCAGGTGCACCTCCACGTGCCCGCTCTGGGGGCGTGGCCCCGCCGCCCCGCCCACGCCGTGCGCGGCCCCGCCCCGCCGTGACGCTCCCCGCTTCCCATTGGTCCGCTGGGGGCCGCGCCCAGTGACGCGCCCGGTGCGCGCGGCCCGCGCCCGGTGCCCGGAGCCGCCATGGCCGTGCCGGTGTCCGTGGCCGCGGCGGTCCCTGCCCGGGCCGGGCCCCGCCTGGCCCTGGCGCTGGGGCTGGGGGCGGGCGCCGGCCTCGGCCTCGGGCTGCTCTGGGCCCTGCGCCGCCGCTGGAGGGAGGCGGCCGCGCCGCACGGCCGCGGTACGCGCGGGGAGAGCGGCCCCGGAGCGGGCCCGGAGCGGGCTGGGCATGGAGGGGACAGGGCTGGAGTGGGGCTGGGATAGAAGGAATGGGGTTGGGATGGAGGGGATGGGGCTGGAATGGGGCTGGGGTGGAAGGAACGGGGTTGGGATAGAGGGGATGGGGCTGGGATAGAAGGAATGGGGTTGGGATGGAGGGGATGGGGCCAGAATGGGGCTGGGATAGAAGGAATGGGGCTGGGATAGAGAGGATGGGGCCGGAATGTGGCTGGGATAGAAGGAATGGGGCTGGGATAGAGAGGATTGGGCCAGAATGGGGCTGGGATAGAAGGAATGGGGCTGGGATAGGGGGGATGGGGGAAATGAGGTCGGAATGGGGCTGGGATAGAAGGAATGGGGTTAGGATGGGGGGATGGAGGGAATGGGGCTGGAATAGGAATGGGGGAAATGGGTTTGGGATGGAGCAAATGGACTTGGGACAGAGGGGAATGGGGG